ACTAAGTCCATATCTAGTGATTATACCCATACTTTTTCTCGACTCTTTGATGAAAATGGGAGGGTATACACCGATACACGGCCACTTTTCGCTTGAAAAGTGGCCGTGTATCAGTTGAAAAGTGGCCGTGTATCAGTTGGAAAGTGGCCGTGTATCAGTTGAAAAGGGACAAAAATAACAAAATCATGATTTACATATTTATTTGAACATCTACAACCCGTTTTGAACATGTTATGGTAAACGAGTCATCATTTTCAACTGTCTCAGCACTTTTCGAATGTGAGTCACTCTCAGTCATATTCTTACTTTTTGTCTCACATTTCTTTACATTTTGATATCGAGTCGCACTTTCACATTTTGTCACACTTTCTCATTTTGTTGCGGCTTATGCTCATCCGCAGCACATAATCCAAATATTTTACTATTATAAATTAATCTCTTGGCATTTTCAACACTAGAAACTTTCACATTTTGTCGCGGTTTATGCTCATCCGCAGCACGTAATCCAAATATATTACTAGTATAAATTAATCCATTGGCATTTTCTACACTACAACCTTGAGAACTCTACAATTCCAACTCGTCTTAATTTAATGGCTGTAACGGCACTGCAGTTACACGGGACTAAACTTAGAAATTCCTTTATTAAAGAAACAAAAATTTAAAACAAGATTAACTTCATTGTTTACTCAATTTTTAATTAGGTGATAATATTATCTCCAAGCTGGAATTCGAGATACGGTGGACTTTCTTAAATCTGGCACACAGGGAACATGCACCAGTATTTTTTGAACAGTTGGATAGGAACTTGAATAAGGAAGCCGATGCCAAAGAAATAAAACGAATATGTACCTACTTCGATGACGATGGTAAGTGCAAAGACTAATGAAAATCGCGAATATTCTAAGCAAGACTATTGCAAACAATCTTGACTGCCACACCTAGTTAATGGAACGCATAATTCAGTTATGGCCTGCAGTATTATACGCCTTTCCAAAAGGGCTAAATTCATGCCCCGTCTTCTTTAGTGGTGGGGGGGGGGGGCACCTTAAATATACTCAACCAAATTAAAAACTTGACACTCGGGATTTTTGGGACTAGATTTTTAATATTTGGTTTAAGGCAACTATTTTAGTGTTATGTTGTGCACAGACGACCTTGACATCAACAGAAAGCAAGAATACGTCTCGCCGAAAGTCCTTGACATTGATAACGTTCGTGATGTCACAGTACCCCCCAAAATGAAATTCACAGACTTGGAGAACAATCGGAATAAAGTGTTTAGTAACAATTGTGGCCTCCTCTAGCGTCTCGTACTGCCACACAACGTCTTCTCATGGATCTCAGAACATTAGTAAACACTACCCGAGGAAGACGTCGCCACTGCTCAGCAAGAGAATGTTGATGGTCCTGCAACGTCAGTGGTGGATTCACTTGCTGACGAACACGTCGAACCAGTTCGTCCCAGATGTGTTCAATAGGATTAAGGTCGGGGCTAAGCGACGGCCAATCCAGGACTTGGACACCGGCATTCCTTAAAAAATTCTGGGTAGCAATTGCTGTATGGGGTCGAGCATTGTCTTGTTGAAACGTTAGTCCAGGCCCATGTCTCTGCATAAACGGAAGAACAGGTTGCAAAATCTGATCCCTGTACTGGACAGCATTTAAGTTCCCTTGGACAACAACAAGAGGAGAACGTCCATGTGCACAAAAAGAACACCGAACCATGACGCTGCCGCCACCAAATCGGTCAACTTCTCTGACGCATACTTGAGCGTAACGTTCACCTCGTCTGCGGTACACTCGGACCCTGCCATCGGCAAATCTCAAAGTGAATGAGATTCGTCACTAAAGACAATCGAATTCCACTGTCTTTGAGTAAATCTTATGTGTCTTGTGGCCCACACAAGTCGGTTACGGCGATGAAGAGGTGTCAATATTGGTCCATTATAGGGCCTCCGAGCTCGAAGACCAGCAGCCTGCAAGCGATTTCGAACAGTTTGTGCAGTTACCCTTCCACCAAACATCTCGCTACTTGTGGAGGTTGCAGTGAAAAATCTGTTTCTAAGATGACGTAATCGTATTGCTTGATCTTCCTGGAGTGACGTCACACGTGGCGCTCCCACCCTTGGGCGGTCGGCAATAGTTCCAGTTTGAAGCACTCTCATTCTAAGATTAATTATTGTCTGGCGTGAACAATTAAAGGCTCTTGCAACAGTGACCACAGACTGACCAGCATAGAGCCTACCTATAGCACGTAGACGTTCTACATTTGAAAGGCGCGGCATTTTCGAACAAAGATGAAAATAACAATTTTAATTTGTTTTTCCAGTTCAAGTTACGTGTGCGTGTTCAGTTTAAGCAAACTTGCATCGATTGACCTCACGAGTTTGTGTTTGCACGTGTTTTTCATCTTTATATGCTCAAGTCACGTGATCCACGTGACTTTACAATTTTATGAAATTAAAGGCTTCTTACTACCTACTATCGTTAGAAACACTTTAAAATTTATTTGACTTACCAGAAAAAAAAAAAAATTGTTGAAATTCATCAGTGTCAAGTTTTTAATTTGGCTGAGTATATATATATATCTCGACAATTACACCACAAAGCACACGCGCACACACAAACCCACCCCACCCCCACGCCTTAAATCAGTTTCGCACATTTATAGTCACTTAATATACGGCCACGTTGCACTTAATAAGCTATGAACATTTAACCATCCATAAATAGACTGAAAAATGGTTACGAGTGTCGGTCATAACATCCGGACACTGAGTAAATAGGTTACGTGCCCTTGTTAGAAATTTGTTTCGCTTGACCAGTCTACCGACTATTCCCCGTCTGATTGATAGGCCGGGTTAAGATTATGTTTGGGTTTTTTTTTTACGAAACTAACACAAAGCTCTAACAAGAAACTGAGTTTAGACACACGCACGTTAGGCAGCTCAACAATTGGTTTTAAGAACAGCACCACATTCACTACATCGGTATCCACTTACAAAAAGTCTTATTGAATTCAAATATTGACAATTTTCCATGTATGTGGGATTAATTGGGCATACAATTGCAAGGGAGAATGGAATTTCGAACGGGATATTCCGTACGATTAGTCAACGTATCTCGGGAAGTTCTAAAAACTGCGATCTTTTTGTACATTAGATTGTCTTCAGGTTACCGTTTTGCTGAACACATGCAGAAATAAAAATTTTCAAGCGTTTACAAGAATGATGGATTGCGATAAGAATATTTCCCTCATTAAATGTGAGGTTATAGAAAATTTTCATCCGAGTTAAACATACATTATGCAAGAGCTAAATCTGCCTATTTCAGGCCAGAAGTGTTATTTAAATCATTAATTAGACATTAATTAACTTATCCAGACCATAATCAACTCTCGATATCATAGCTAGCCTGCGATATTTATTGGATTAGGATCCGATTTGCCGCTCAACTTTAATTTATGATTTAATCATGAAATGGATAGTCGACTGTTTTTTTATCGTACCGACTTATGATCGAGGCTAGGCTGAAAATTCAATCGCTAAATTATCGGTTCAGAGTGGATCAGTGACTGAAATTTCAGCAAATTTCCTTTACATTATCTAGTTTTTAACTATTATAGTGAGAGCTGCCAGTTCTCTAATCTCCCATAATGTATCTTTAATATGAATTATTTCTATTTCAGGCGATGGATTTGTATCTAAATTTGAATATGATTTGAATTGGAAGGGAATTTTCTCCGTTGAATAAATTAGGTACCAACATTGATAAAAATGCTTCTTATTTTCTAAAATAATTTGTCTATGCCATCGACGCATATTAATATTATAGGTGAGCTTTCTAAGGCAAGAATACTGCGCAGTGCCAGTTTTGAAAAGTTGAAACTAGCCCAGTCCATTAGGTGACTGATTTGTGCGAATGCCTGGCTCGAAATGCTTTACTCATTGTGGAGGGTTGGGTGGTCGTATGGTTGGACCAATGCCTGCGCCTAAGAGTAGGAGATGCCATCTAGTCTTGCGGCGTAGTTGCGATTCCCAGCAGCTCAATCCTGGGTTCTTCTCGGTCCCCGGACTGCCAAAGACTGTACGCGCAAGCGAATGTTTGAAATAAATTGGGACCATATTTTACTCCAGAAATGGACTATGCCTTAGAGTGCGTTACTTCCCATTACTCTATCGAGTGCTTGGTTATATACTCTAAGTAGGGATATTCAGAAACAATACAAAACTGCGGAAATGCGCTCTGTTTTTATTAGAGGTAACCAGTGTATGTTAACAGACCAATTGCCTACACATGAACAGTTCATATGGGCGCCTTATCTGACTAGCAAAGATACTGTCAAATGTGAAAATGGACGTTTTTGATTCGTCTTAATGAGTAAATGCTCCACCAATCCTCAGACATTCAGCAATTCGTCGTGGCATGATCCTAATCAACAATCCAATCACGATTTGGGGCAATCTGACCCACCCCTCTTGCAGTACCACGGCCAATTATTGCAATGTTGTCGGTTGACGTTGACGAACACGTCTCCCGATCATGTCCTAGACATGCTCTGTAGAGGAAGTCAGGACTCGTGACTGGCCAAGGCATATGGACAATATGGCGACACTGGAGGTAGTCATTCACGACACGAGCGCAGTAGGAACGGGCATTATCTTGAAAGATAAAACGTCGACCTGCCCCAGAACTATCGGTGCCAGGATGTGGTCACGGTAGTACACAGCAGTGACCCTTCAACTATATGCAAGTCCGTTCTGCCAGTCATGTCCCCCCCCCCCTTCCACGTGTATGGCGCTATTGCTTGTCGCACGTGCACCGCGGTGGTTCTGTTGGGGCAATAAGTTCATCGTGAACATACTCTCAAAGCATGTCAAGTGTCCATGATTATTATATCACAATCTTACATAGGTATTTGCATTTCAATATCCCCTACATTTTTTTGAAGAGTATATTACGTTAACAGTTTTATGAACACGGTCTAGAAACGCCCATTAACCTACAACCATTTTATTAAATGCATTATACATTAAATGCCCCTGTAAAGTAAAAACTCTGGGACAATCTGCAGATTCAGTATTTATTCATTGTCCAATTGTCGACGAAGATGCGTTCACTTCTAATCATGATCTTTTCATCTGAAAAAAAAATCAGATTAAAACCAAACGATTTTCAGGTAAATTTCCATAATTGTAAGAGTTAAACAGTTATTGCATCTCTAAAACTATAGCAAATTTAAAAGTTCTAAATCGATCCCCAATCTAACTTAATAAATAAACCTTATCGTTGATTTTATCCATTTCCACTGAATTTAGAATTTTTAATTAAAGTCCATGAAACATTGTTTAGGTTCTATTTCTTTGATACAAGTGTACGGTGTACGGTTGCGGTATGTTTAGCCTGAATTAATTTTTAGATTTCAGTGAGTCAACGCACCCAAGGCAAAATATTGCCTCAAGGCTAAATCTTGGTTTCCTCCCCCCCCCCTCCTTACTAGAAAATATTCAAATTTCAAAACATTCTTGGACAATTTACTGCTTAATATCTTACAGATTTGAAATGCGAGAGATAGCAATAAAATACTTCATAAATACATTTGACAATCGTGCTCAAGTACATTTAAAAATTTCATTGCAAAACCTTTCCACACCAGAAAGCAAAATACAAGAGGATGAAAACATTGAGCAAATGTAACTGAATCCAAAACAACCATTTTTCTTGCCATAAGGGGCTTTACAAAGTCCAAGCTACCATGTTATTTCTACACTAATATTTTTGTCTCGTTTGTTCAGGGTTGGCGGATACACTAGGGCTGTCCCCGAGGCAGAAATTTGGTGTATAGGGTAGCTCGGACCGGGGAGTAACAGACTAAGTGGGGTTGCCCTACCGCTTCCTGTTTCTGAGTTCTACTACTTTCAACTTGTGCAACGCCGGGTCATCCGCTAGTGTCAAAATAAAAATGAAGTTATTCTATTTCTAATACTTACCAGATGATCGTTTTCGGCGTTGCTTTTCCAGGTCACAACCACTCTGTAAATTCCAATAAAATACTTTAAAAAGTATGGAAAAATGCCTCGTGTTGAGAATTCTCACCGATAACATTTCCCTGTATCGCCTTACATTATCCATCAAAAGCTAAAGTATTTTCAAAAGCCATTTACAGATTCCCATACCGGAAATCGTGGTTTGCTATCGTTTTGTACATTACTAGATTACAATCCAAATACTTGTATTTTGTGCTTTCAGTAAAAACATATATACAAATGTTTCAAATTATTGACGCTTAAAAAAGGCGCGCGTCCCAAACTGAAGCGAATCTGCTTTAGCCGGATTCTGTTTTAATCATGTCAAAGAGACAACGAAAAATTGAGAACCATATGAAATATGTGAACCAATACACTTTAAAATTTGAATAGAAAATTTAATGAGGACGATTCCATAGTGAATTGTTAAGATAATGGGTAAACATTGTAAAAAATTATTCTCACCCCATTACAAGTTGTTCTGCATACTGTTGCAAGGCATTCAAACTTCACATTTGCCAAATTTCGTATTGCAAACATATTAAAGAAAGGACTTCTGGCAATGTTTCCAACCGTATAAAAGCCCTCCTTTTTACCATATATTCGACCATTACCACACCTTTAATACATAAAGTTCAATGACGTCTACAACCTTCACATGTAGAAACTTAAAATAACACTGCAAAAGTCTAATACGCCACGCAGGTAACTAATACTGCAGTAGAACCCCACTACTTGTATAGACAGTCTGGAGAAAGTTGCAAGGAACGAAAATGTTCTTGGAGTAAAGTGATCAAGTCCATTGTTCAAGACGCAGCCAAGTAAAATACAGTCCGATAAAATTAATGCGCCATAAGAAAGGTTTGTGATCGATTTCAGTTTTGAAGTCGATGACATTAAAAACTCCCAAAGTGTCACTGTACTGCCTTTGTATATCTTTCAAAAAGTGGTGCATTCCGGTGCATAATGATAAGTCAATATGTACAGAATTCAATCTTTCAAATCTCTTCACATACTTACCCGCCGCTCAGTATGACCGATTTAACAGCTTTCCCATCGTTAGTATTAGCTATGGCGGTACAACTTATTACCCTTAGTCCGTTGCCTGTTGTAAATGAGAAATAATACAAGTCGAATATTAATGTTTTCGTGGTTGAAGAAATCTTTTGTAGTCCGGCTATTTTAGGAGCAGATTGAGATCCGATAGATGTGAACGTTTCGGACAACACAGGTATATTTTCTTCAATACTTACTACCCTAGCTTTCCACTTTTGATGGTCACTCCCTCCAAATATACTATTTCGGCGATCTTGGAACTTCCCAAGATGTCTGCTATGTAATAAACCTATATTTACCAATGAGGATCACATAGGGTTCGGAAGCAGAGGTAAATGGGAGGTAAATGGTAGATTAGATTTTAGTGGTTGTGTTTGTGGGCCGCCAGGTATAAAGGGAATGATAACGATATATCCATCAAGTCTCGATTCAATGAGAGTGAAAAATATCGAAGTTTCAGTCCTTTGTAATTAAGCGACTTAGTGGCCGAGACAGCTGAAAATTCATAATTTAGATAGGGTGCGGTGCGGTTCTTTGGCAATTCCACTATCTTACTGTATACATGTATAGCACTCCCGATCTTCCGACCTTTTTCTTTCTAATGAACGAGGAACAACTCGAGGACCTCCCATGTACTGTATTCACAATCTTACAAAGTAAACGGGAAGATATATGCGATTTGTATTGCATAGTCATAGTAATTCAGCAAGAAATTGGTAACCGTTTTAGTGCAAAAAGTTTTAATGGCTCGAAGGTATGAATGAATTATATGATCAACTGGGCCCCGTTTCTCGAAACCTTAGCCAAAGATAAAATCCAATTTTAGTAGATACTTCAATTTCGATATGACCAAGCACTAAAATCAATCTATTATTCAATCAAATTACTAAAATTTGGATGTTATCCTAGTTCAAATTTCGTGAAACGGGCCCCTGAAATCAAGAAAATGCACTCTTGGTATAAACCCATTACTTACCCTTCCCTGTCGCGGCGATAGACACAACTCTTCCTAAGGCAATATTCCCTTTAATTGTTTTATTCAAAACATTTTGAATATCCAGTTGGAATGCATTCTTATCTTCTGATCCCATAGATCTTAATATTTCAACTGGAGCCAGAACACTGAAAAATATTAAGGTATAAAATTTACAGTTCAAACTAAATTCGTTTTCAATTCCGGGCTCTTCATTAGATCAGATGTTTTTGCGGTTTCCCCACTGCACTTGTCATGGCGTTGGTTCAACCCCTTTCACATTCTATCAAATATACTAAGCAGCATTTCATGTTAGTAAGTTACTCTGAATAGACGCATTGCATAAAACTCGCCAAATGTTTTATTGTCTAGTTGTGACCACATCTCCAAACTTTACCCGAGCAATAAGGTTTCTTCCCAAACACAATTGAAACCAGGAAATGTTCTCAAAAACGTAACCCGACTTGGAGATGGTGATGTGTTCTCCATGATTTTTATGGAACTCCTGCTGCACGTGCTGTTCACCGGGACCAGCCCTATAAAATGCACCCCCATACCTGGTTGAATTGTCGGTTTACTTCGGGTACTCCCGTTTCCTCCCACAGGAAAGACCCCTGCGCGTGCGCTAAGATAACAAAAAAGAGACTTGTCTGCGATATCAACTTCGTTGGAAGCGGACGTTAAACACTAAGCACATGGTTGAATCATTCACACTACAACGTTAGCTGAATGCCACGACCCAAGAGCTCAGGAACCAGCCGCTTGGAAGACTCGACGCTGGCCACACTTCCAGGTAAAAACGTCTAGTGTTGTCTTGGCAATTCACAAATAAAAATGGAATACCTTTCAGATATTACTTTTTCAGTTGTGTTCTTCTTCCCATAGTCATCGAAGGTACAAGTGACACTATTAACTTCTGTATGGGTTCTTACGGTACCACCAAACTCGCCCCACGCAACATTAACGTCCACAGTGTAAACATTGGCACCTTGGCGTTTCTGAAATATACAAATTAAACGATTTTGTTTCAGAACAGCTTATAATCTCGAAGACTCCCCTTTAAAAGGACGTAACGAAACTCCGTAAACATATTCCTGTACAACAGTCAACTTTGATCTTGCTTTATTTCAAGAGGGCAGGAGTACCAGAGATACTGGAATCAGCATTGCAACAGAGTGGAATGGGATCCAACAGCGCGTTATCCAGTTGGGCTGATTTCCACCCCTTGTTAGTTCCAATGCAATGACCATTGTGTCATTTCTCTTTTTCGATAAAATGCTCGGCCTCCATAACAGTAAATAGGTGAATGAATATTTTATCAGTCGTGATTAAACGCCTGAGATTTTGACAAACAATCCTTTCTAAAAGAAAAATGAATAAAAAAAATTCCTATGTGAAGATTTGATTGCGTTGACAGAAGCAACATAAATTCAAGACCGTTACACATGATTAGGATACGGGTTAAAAATTGCTCCGATTTATCCACAAAAAATATTTGATAGCTTCAAATAATATCCGAATTCATAATTTAATTCAAGGTAACAATGGAATAAAAAAGAAAAACTTACGTAAAACTGGCAAATATCTTTAGCCGAGGTCTTTAAGTATGTACCATTTAAATAAAAATTAACATTATCGCTAGAACTGAAGCTAACTTTAGCATTCTTACATTGGGCGTAAGCAGTAATAGAAAGATCGGTTACAATCTCTATACTTGGCTTTTTCAAAGTTAAATCGGAACATCGTGGGGTGACTGAAACGAAAATATCAATTAAGTAACATTGGATCCAAAATACGTTGTCCATAAGATGCATCATCTAAATGCAAAGTTGTTTAAAGCGATTGGTCGAGTTTACGGTTTAGCTGATTATGAATAAATCGACAATAGTTTAGGAAATTGATTTAACAAGTAGTACAGAATAAGTCAAAACATCTAAATCTGCTACATTCAATGTTTGACTTACGTGATAAGCTCCCAATATTTCCCCACACCACATTTAGTAAGCCATGTTGAAGACTCAATATTTCAGAGAGCAATACCTAACCCTAAAGTGGTTTCTTGTTCAGACTACAACGGGTTTTAGCGCCGTACCGGTAACCCTGGAATTTAATTCGTCAACCGACCTAGACGGCGTTTGGCAATGGCGAAAAATGACTTCACACCGAAAAGACATTCAAATTATAACATTTAAATTACCACCGTTACATCAATATACAATCGGTCATTTCTAGCACATCAATATACAATCGGTCATTTCTAGCACACATAAGTATTGACACTTAATCCCGATACAGTTGGTCGTAAATGGTCCGGAAACCGATAAAAATCAAGAAGCTTTACCCATTTACATTATGTGCACGAACAGTTCGCGGCAGTCACTTATCAATTCACTATCAACACCAGAACGAATGGAAATAAGGCCAGTTTCCAATCAACACAGCCGAACTTTTAAAACCGAACTGAACACGATATACACCCAAAGCCATTAAAAACGCAATGCCAAATTCAAAGTCTATTTCAGAACCATGAAGCAAAGCAGGGGTCAGCTGAAGTCAATATCTGGTATATCCACCCCGAGCGCTTACACATGCCTGAAGTCGCCTTGGCATGGACTGGCACAGATGTCTTACTACACAGTGTGGGATTGTTTGCCAATGATTTTGGAGTGCCTGTGCTACGTCTGCAACAGTTCGTGGTGGCACGGCTTGAGTTCGAACCCGTCGTCCAAGTTCATCCCAAGGGTGTTCGGTCGGGTTCATGTCGGGCGACATAGCGTGCCAACCGATAACACGGACATGATTGTTCAGAAAGTTTTGTCAACCGGGCAGTGTGGGGTCGGGCGTTGTCATGCTGGAAAATAACTGTCGACGGACGCCATGGCGTGTTGTGCAGATACCCCCGATTTGCGGCCCGCGGCCCATTGCTGTCTGGCAAGTCGATGACGAGGCAAAAGGATTTGACCTTGGTAAGGTCGACGGCGGCGTAACCCAAGAACAGCCAGGCGCCTTCGGACTGAGGGCTGATCTCCGTTGCCGTGTTCCCAACAGTTCCCTGGCAGTAGCTGTCTGGGACTTGTTGCGCAGATGATGTAGTCCGATGTGGCGATCTTGAGCAGCGGTTGTTACAGGTGGCGTTCCAGGACGGTTCGATCGGCAACTCTTCCAGTGGCGTGGAAGTGTTGTCTAAGGCGAGCAATGGTCGATTCGTGGACATCTAAAGTGTCTGGCGACGGCTACCTGTAAAGCCCCCTTATCCAGCATGCCACTAGCTCTGTTCCGGTAAGGCGTGATGAATGTTGAAATTTTGATCTGTATTTAAAAAGGTCAGAGTGCAGGCAATGCACGTGCAAAACGTGACATGGGACTGCTTAAAATCATGAAAATAGACAAGTGTTGCGTTTGCACGAACAAAGTTCATTACCGAGAACTGATAAAGGGTTCAAACCCAAACTCTACAAGAAGAGATCCATCACAAGTTTCACCTATATGCCATAAGATAGGAAAGCCCAAGAAAACGTTTACCAGAAATATTTCACGAATTAAGCATTGCGTTTTTGATGGCTTTGAGTATATTTAAGATTCAACAAGTTTACATCAATCAAAATCCATTTTTGTACCGCAAGGGAGTTTAATGTGAAATATTTGTTTAAATTGTGCAATATTTGTTTAATTTGTGCAATATTTGTTTAATTTGTGCAATATTTGTTTAATTTGTGCAATATTTGTTTAATTTGTCATTTTACGTTATCGATTACAAATGAAAAATAAATTACTTATTAAAATCGTATCGTTCGGCAAGGCAACAGCATAATCTACTGCCTGAAAAAAAGCATAGATATATATATATATATATTTAAAATAAATATATGGAAAGGATTGTCAATTCAAAAGACAGTCGAGCAAACCGTAGAATATGCCCACACAGTTCGTAATCTTTTTAAACGGGCTCTTATGAGTCATGACGTTCAGTGTTTTCGGAAAAGTTTGACGGAAAAGAATAGGGTATCCTCGCCTTATGTTCTCCGGAAAACCATAATCCGATTTTGACGAATCGAGATAGGGATCCTCGTCTTTTAATACAACGTCCCTGGAAGTTTCAGAAAAATCCGATGAAAACTAATCTTTGTTCCGTACAAGATAGGGTGTCCCACACAGAAAAGGGTGTCCCACACATAAATGGGCTCTAATACGAGTTTTAAGTTCAATGAACCATCACCATCAAAAGGCGATGCCTTAAGTGATTAGGCGGAGGAGACGCAGCACGACAATCTGTTAATCATTTGATGTAAAAAGGGACACATCTGTTTGGTTTGTAATTATCATAAAATTGGAAGGGTGTGACACAAAAAAAGAGGAAAGGGTACTCACGGACAAAATGAAGAAAACAGCGAACATTCGAAGCCCAATCATTTTCAGTAGCTGTCTGGAATATAACAATACATAAACATTTTGATTTTCATAAATGAAACCATTAATCTACATGTATTCCACGCGTAGTAGCTGTATTCACAATCAAGAAATAACTTTAAGAAACAGAACATTAACTACACACCTTATTATTGTCGCCAACAAAAATCTACTGAAATCTCCACGATAGTTTACCTTTTTATAGCAGTTGGTGCGTTGCACGTGCATTTACACCACGAGCCTATACTATTGAGATCTACACACTCGATAGTCGGTGTTAAAGAGGAAAAAAAAATAATAATTTGGAAAGCAATATGTCGGTTTTATAAAAAGAAACCCACAATAACCCATTTTAATACATTTGTATCTCTCTAGGATATTTAAAAGGAAATACGACAATTGACAAATATATCCACCTGGGTGTAGATCCATACGTCTAAGAGAAGTTATGAAATTACCTGGATAGTTACAAATGGATAGCATGAGAATCGGAGAAACTGGATTGTCCAAAAGAATTATCCATGTTTTGCTTGGTTCACACGGCTTTAGAGAGTAGTCTCGATCTACCTATTAAAAGGCGGTGCTGTAAAGAGATACAAATTTTAAATAAAATCACGTGGTTGATATCCTATTTTTCTCCACCATCCAGACTGGACAATTTAGCCTCATCGCGGCGTTTCCGCCTGCTTTTTATCGAAGGGTACACGCGGCCTCGGTCTTTTGCTCTATCCGAACGACTATACGCTATTCCTTGCCACACTAATTATATCAGCATATACAAGAGCGTATATTTTCTTCTGTTCTAGGAACAATATTTTAAATTACATTTATGTTAAAGAGATATAAATATGACTTTAATCCGAAAAATAAATAAATAGTTAAAAAAATATATCATAATTGAAGTTACGCTAGTATCGAAAAGCCAAGCAGGAACAAATTTACAATTAGGTGCTTTAAACGAGCATTGTTAAAATCCTCCAAAGATCATAGTAAAATTCACCTCTTTAATACGTATACGATGCAGGACAAGAGCACTGTATACCAAGCTGTTGGTTACGTGAAATTGCTATACGCCTTACCACCTAAAAGATGGACCCAGTAGCTAGGCGATCCGACGTTCCAGGGGATCAGAATACTCGTCTTAACCTGTGATTTTTAAACGGATGGCATTTGAATCCTAGGAGAGAAATTTCAAATCGAAATGTAAGAATTGGAGATTAATTTTTGTCAGAGGTATAATGGTGAAAAGAGTCTAGATGAAAATGCACACCGGAAAGGTAGTATATGTATAACGATAATTATTGTAATACAATGGGCCTTCCGTCAGACGTGGAGAGCGGGGGAACCAACTCCGGTCGTCACATCTTACGTACGACCCATGCATCTTTTCTTACTGCATAAGTAGCCTTGTGATCGTCTAGTATTTTCACTTATTGCCTTTGCTTCTGTTTCACGTTGTGTATTAACTTCTTACTGTGTTCTTAAGACGTTTGTCTTACCAGGAATAACAATGCAACAGTTCGTTTTTGCATTTTATATATCATAGCTGCTTACATATGGATACAATGCATAATAGAATAAAGTCATTCTCTCAAACTGATAGAAACTGTTACATTTTTCCCCTTCTGGAATCAAGCTGTTGTCTGTCAATCACCCACCAATATGATAGTTTTGTAGCTTTGGGCTTTGGACCTTCAATTATCTAATTGGTCAAATATGATGTAAATAATTACAGAGATTGGTCAAACTAAACCAAATGATGCAATAGGTAAATTTCCAGTCACATGTTTTTTGACACAATCTATCCTTGAACTTAGACCCTTTTTCCTGTTATTCTCACACTATTTCATAAACAATTAATTTGCATTTTAAATACACCCATAACATAGCCAATACACTGACAATCTATCTATATATATATTTGTGACTGTCGTTTGTCTGTCTGTCTGTCTGTTCGGGGTTGGCGGCTACACTAGGTCTGCCCCGAGTCTGAAATTTGGGGTATAAGGTTACCTCGGACCAGGGAGTAACATAGGCCAGGTGGTGTTAGTCTACCACTTCCGGTTTCGGAGTTATGACCCTAGAGCGAAGCCGGTCTGTTCGGGGTTGGCAGCTACACTAGGTCTGCCCCGAGTCTGAAATTTGGGGTATAGGGGTAGCTCGGACCGGGGAGTAGCATAGGCCAGGTGGCGTTAGTCTACCACTTCCGGTTTCGGAGTTATGACCCCCGAGCGAAGTCTGTCTGTTCGGGGTTGGCGGCTACATCTGCCCCGAGTCTGAAATTTGGGGTATAGGGGTAACTCGGACCGGGGAGTAACATAGGCCAGGTGGCGTTAGTCTACCACTTCCGGTTTCGGAGTTATGACCCCGAGCGAAGCCGGTCTGTTCGGGGATGGCGGCTACACTAGGTCTGCCCCGAGTCTGAAATTTGGGGTATAGGGGTAGCTCGGACCGGGGAGTAACATAGACCAGGTGGCGTTAGTCTACCACTTCCGGTTTCGGAGTTATGACCCCCGAGCGAAGCCGGGTATCCTGCTAGTAGTGAATAATTTGTAAAGATAAAAATATTGTTTAAACCATCTTATATCTCTATTCCCTGTCTATAAATTTAAAAACAATGTCGCAACGACGATATACTACCTTTCCACTGTTGCATTTGATGTTCTCGTTGATGACTATCATTTTATAAAAGAATGGTTTTTATATTTCCGGATTTTCATTAATTATTAATTACAATTTTAATTTGAAATTATACCTCACAGAAGCGATGAATTACATCTACACAAATTGCCTTCTATAGTTTTCAATCACTGTCAGACATAGCATTCCGACCAGATAACACGTGTAACCTTTGGCCTAAATATATATCTATATGTGAAGCCTCAGAGGACTCAATATATAATCAATTTACAATATTACTTCAAGTTAACTCGTAATGAGTTTATTAGTATTACAAAGTCGCAGGGGAGCCACGGTGGCTAGGTGGTTAAGACGCTGGATCGCTAGCCTGGAGGTCGGGTGTTCGATCCCTGCATTGGCCGAGAAAGTTCATCTGGATTTTCCGACGTGGTTTCCCCTTGTCAGTGGTGCAGAACGGAGGGCCTGACAAGGACAGCTGCCTAGTCCTTCGGATGAGACGTGTATACATTGGAATGCACGTAAAAGATCCCTTGGCAATTGGAATTCGATATAAGAGTAGGCGATAGTGCCGCTGCCCGGGCAAAATTTCCCTCATAGCACACTGTATGGCGTATGCCCGTCTTCATTAGCCCAGTATAGGAGCAGAACAGTAGGACGTTAAACTCCATTTCATTTCATTTCATTTCACAAAGTCGCAGTATATAGATACCCTCAAATAATACTGTTTCGCATCTTTTAGTTCTAATAATAGTTATCATTTTGCAGAGGGCAGCTGAATAGCGCACACACTAGCCCGATAAACAATAACGAGTAACAAATTTCATGTACGGGTCAGACTCTACCTACATCGTTTTGAACACGCCTCAGTTATCTATAAATAAAATAACTGACACCGTACGGGGTACCCGTTGATTTCGATCAAATATACAACTGGTTGGTATTGAAGCCATGTTATAATAACCGTGTTAAACTCACCCCTATAAAATAAACCATCATCAATGCAAACGATTTGAGAAACAGAATACATCGACATTATTTTGCTATTTTTGCATCGATTTATGGACGCTAAAAATACAGACAACGTCCGTAAACTATCCTAGCGATTAAAGAGGGATTTATAAGTGAATCCCGGTATTCAGTCCAAAGCCCTTTAGCTAAAATGCTTCAGATTGACCATGTTTAATGGCGTTAATTTATATGGCCTCCGTGACTTACACCCAGCATAGACGGTTACAGATTGTAAGATCAAAGGTGAATCTCTCTAATATTAAAACTGTTAAAAGAAAATCGAAATCGACCCCCGTGTTAGCCGCTGATGATTTGTCTCTTGTCAAGTCGCATTTCTTGGTCGTAAATGGAAGTTATTGTAAAGGGCTTAACTAAGCGTATTAACAGCTTCAAAACACCGTCGCCAATCAAACAACGATTGAACACTGGCACAAATGATTATTGCGTGTAAAGTTAAGGTAATGTTACGGTTTCTGCTATCAGAATACATTGCCTGCCTAGACTCTCTTTCACGAAGTCAATCATTCCTATATAAGTCAAGCGAATTGTAAACGTTTGCCGCGCTTTACTACGGAGCTATCAATTTTGTAGTCTGGTGTAGAATGGTCAACAGAAGTTTATGACTTAAACGACTGAACACGAAAGGATTCTGCCATTACTTGGAACTAAATAAACACAAAGATGGAAGTCAGAAGGTATGATGTTTTCATATGTTTTGTTGATTTTAACAGTGTTGAATATTTTGAAAAATAATACTAATAATTGGATCTATGTGTTTGGTTAACATAGACATATTAAGGCATTTTTTTTAATTGGTTTATTTAAAATGGGCATGCGTTTTTAGTTTTCTAGTCAATATTATTGCTAGAGTATTTTTTGTGTCGTTATCGTTTTATCTACACTTAAAGATACATTATGGGAGATTAGATAAAGAGCTAGCAGTTCTCACTATAATAGTTAAAAACTAGATAATGTAAAGGGAATTTGCTGAAAATTTCAGTCAAATTGATCCACTAAAGTCGGTAGGATAAAAAACATAGTCTCGATTATCCATTTCATGATTAAATTATGAATGGAAGTCGAACAGAAAATCGGAACCTAATCCAATAAACATCGCAGGCTAGCGATGCCATCGAGAGTTGATTATGGTCTGGATAACTTAATTAATGTCTAATTAATAATATTAATAAATTAGTTAACATTTCGGGCCTACAGAAAGACCTGCAATAGGCATATTTAACTCTTGCATAATGTATCTTTAAATCATATCTATTATTAATAAGCCATATTTAAAGGTGTGGTTTGAAAATAAAGGCCGTGTATTAATTGTTTTTGTTTAAACATCTGGGCTCGTGACACAACATTTATTCTTAGGTTTATGGGCCAGTATTCAAATTGTTATTCCATTTAGCTATAAATCCATGCATTATTGTCGTGTATGCTTACTCAAAGAACAACCAATACTTCGCATTTACAGCCACACAACATCCAGGTGTTGTACAATAAAATCCCACCAAAACCCGAGAAATCGCCAGTTTCCAGAGGGTGACTCGTCTTAAGATGTCTTGAGTTGCACAAGAAAAACTGGTTTAA